TACATGAGTTTTAAAATATAGGATATCGGCCAAAATCCCAATATCCTGCATCCCTAGTCTGTGTCTTATTCTGCATCCATATAGTAGAAAAAATGTATAATGCATCCCTGATTATTTCAAATAAAAGTGATTTTCCTATCCGTATCTGTATTGTGCTACACACTGCTGCTCTACAACATGCAGCTTTAGCTTAATGTTTCCATCCCTCACATTTTATCTAACAGAAATATAAACCAACAGACATATTTGTCTTTAATGGAAGCCAGAAAAAAGGCCTGCTGACGGGAAAAGCTTTGGTGTCCAAATGATCCTTTGTACATCCCTACCATCTGAGGATCCACATGTAATGGTCTTTATTCTGATGTTTCTAACAGGTCCAACAGGGAGTGTCAGATCGACCAGCACCACAGGAACCAGTGCCAGTACTGCCGCCTGAAGAAATGTTTCCGCGTCGGCATGAGAAAAGAAGGTAACTCCTCCAGGAACGGCTGGGTAAATCCCACCAGTTCTGATCTCTGAGAGAAGTCGAGTTGGGCCTGGGGGGGGGCACATGTAACTGTGGGGCTGACTGAGGTTTAAACGGTTTTAATCCAGATCCTATATAATCAAGCTCAGTATAATCAAGACCCAAGACTGACTGGGTTAAGATGCAGAACCATCAGATTCCTTTAACTTATCAGAAAAGCTGTTTTCTCTATTCTGGAGATTGAATGTTAGGTTGATAAGCTTTATTCTACAAGGACAAAAAAACAATATGAACTTCTGCACAAACTTCTAAATTATCTATCATCTGGTTTGACAAAGGTCTGGATGCAGTTGTCTAAATACAACCTTCAGATTTCTTAAATTCAATTTCAAATTTCAAACTGTGCTCCTATTATAACTTTATTCTAATTTATTATCAGTTTTAGTCACTTTTTACCTTTTAAAAGAACACAAGCCTCTGCTTTTGGAGTTCCCAGATATTTCATTTACCGTATTATCCAGACTATAAGCCGCTACTTTTTTTCCCACGCTTTGAACCATACGGCTTATAAGAAGCTGCAGCTTTTCTGTGGATTTTTACCAAACAGCCTGAGGGGAAAGTCAGTTTGGGAAATGAAAGAATAAGGGGCTAATTTTCAATTAGCACAAGAACATGCTAGCAGCGGCACAACGAAAAACAAATGTCATGAATTCAGATATTTTGACATTTATTTGCTGCTTTAAAGCTGCCGAACCAATGAAGGGACTGGGCTAAATTCCTGAAATAAAGAGCTGATGAAGCCCCATCTTTCAGTAGAAGCTCTTACTGCTGTGAGCTAACAAGCTAACGGGAGCTAGCCTCCTTCTTCGTCCCTTCTTCAGGAGCTATATCCAGGAGCTCCCCCTACAGGTTTGGTGGGAGACAGTTCAGTAGAAATCAGTGGCTTGTACATTTCCATTATTTATTCATTTATTTATTTGTGGGCGTGGCTTATAGTTAGATGCAATCTATAGTCCGTGAAATACGGTAGCATGTGTGACCCTATAAATAACAAAACAATGTTAAAAACTTCGGAGTAAATTTTCAAATGAAACAAATCTCCTATTGAAAAAAACAGACTTTAAGGGTAACTAATGTTTTCATACATTTTATTTTTTCAAATAATTTTCTTTTTTTTGTATTTTTAATTAGCCTCTTACACCCTAAGGGGGTATAAATAGATTTCTGCCTGACAAAAACACACAAAAGTAAATAACTTATAGCCTCACAGCTATTAGATTTAAGAAGAAACTTTTGGTACGTCTGTAAAGGTAAGATGT